CCCCTCAAACCCCTCCCAATGTCCGTGTCTGAGCAGCAGAGTTTAATTATTGATGGGCCTGGAGTCTGTGCTGGGCCTGTGTCTACATTTGGTTGATCAGGTGAACTGCCCTCCCAGACCCCAGAGAGCGGGAGGGAGGGAGCCCGCGGGGTCTCTGGCTGAAGCCTCTGTGACCCCGTAAAAGGCCAGGTGGTGAAGTGATTGCACACGAGCCTCAGGCAGCTCTGGGGAGGGACAGCCTGCATTTGAAAGCGCAGTAACACGTCACCACGTGGCATATCTCCCGCAGCTGAAAGGATGAGCTGGAGAACGCTGGCCTGCACTCGGGGCTCTCTGTTAACACAAAGGATGGAGGCTCCCAGACCACTATCCCGCCCCGTTCCCGACCTTGCGCCCCTCCTGGAAGGAGATTTCCCTCACAGGACAGGCGTGCCCTCCGCCCTGCTTGGTCCTCGGCCTCGTCCAGCTCGTCTGAAGCTCCTCTCCCCCGAGGACGCTGTCCCTGTCCACGGTGCATGCCCAGATGGTGGCTCAGCCTCCAAGGGCGGCGGCCGGGCTGTGGGAGCCAAAGACCAGCCACGACAGGGGACTGACCAGGCAGTGGGGTGGGGGTGGCTAGCCTCACCCACCTCCCCCGTCAGCAGCTCCCACCCTCGACCACAGAGCAGCGGTGGGGGCGACATTACTGGGTTACTGGGAAACGGGCCGTACTATCAGATCATCCCAGAAATCTGGATATTCACATGAGATCTCTGGGAGGTTAATGCTAGCACCTAATTCAAACTGAAATAACAACAGTGAACCGGGCAGGCCGACTCAGCTCAGCCACAGAGGACATTCCTAGGGGCTGGACTCGCCCCTCAGAACCCAGCTTCAAGCCGTTTACCAACAAGAGCTGTCATTCTCTCCTTCAGACCCACCTCCCTTCCACACCCGGCTCTCAGCTCCGGGTTATCCTTCACCTCATTCTCATCCCAGACTCCTCAAAAAGGCCCCCAGACCCACACTTCTCCTCTTCCCAAACCCCAGCCTGAGGCAGGGTTCTCATCCCTTCATGCTGGGGGCTCAGCAACATCTTCCCCCGTGACCCCCCTGCCCCTACACCCCACCCCTCACCCGTCCTACTAGGATGTGCCCCTAAGCCCCCTCTCAGCCCCTCCTGGGAACGGCCATCCTGGGCACGGGATTCTGGGAAGACAGCGGCTAGGATGCGCCTCCAGTGGCCTCTGGGCTGGTGGGCAGGGCCTGGAGGGCAGGGTCTGGGAGGACAGGCACCCCTGGCAGGACCAGAGCCTGCCGGCCTGTGAGGCAAATGACCCAGCAGCACCTGCTCCCCTCCTGGACAGAGAGGGACTGAGGGGCTACTGGGAGGGGAGGGGACAGACATGCACGTGTGGGTCAGTGCCCCCAGGAGCAGACCACTGAGGCCCTCCACTTATAGAAGTGACAGCCACGTGATTGTGACCATCTGGCGGACAAAGGAAGAAAACCTCCAGGCACCACACGGGAGCCAGAGACAGGCAGGGCTCGCAAGGTGCCTGGGACGTTAGCTCCCGTGATACAAAGGAGCCGAGGGCAGGGGAGGGGCAGCGTCAGGGACCGGAGAGCACCGGGGCCTGTGGAGGACGGAGCAGCCCCTGCGCCCGCAGCCTGCACGAGGGGGCCCCGGGTGAGCACCTGGCCTTACCCTCCTCCCGCCCTCTGATCTCCTGCCGGTGCCTCCAGGGACCAAACTTCCTCAAGGCCAGGGGGCGAGGAGCCTGGTCCATATCAGTCCAGACCAGTCCCCACCCCCGGGCACAGCAAAGGCAGGAGGGGGACGGCATCCACACAGCCCATCTCCCTGTCGTCCACCCCTCCCACCAGGGACCCACTGGGGACCCTACAGAGAGCCTGGTGGGCCCACAAAGCCCCGCATAGCTTGGAGCACAGCCCGGCCTCCCGTGCCTCTCCTCCAGCACAGAGGCACAGGTGCTCGAGCCACGGAGGACCCAGGAGGCTCACAGGGGCATCACATGCTTGTCCCTGTGGACAGCCCAGAGCACATGTCAGCCGGCAGGAGACGGGCATGAAGGGGAGCCGAGTCGATGCAGCTGGAATGATGGGAATCGTGTACGGAGCTGGCACCAGTCCCCCTGCCCCCCCAGTCCCAAACAGACGATGACACCTGAATGACGTCCCCTCACGCTCTGTCCTCTGGAAACCCTTTACCAAGAAGATGCTGCTGCAGCTCCGTGTGGCATGAGGAGCGCCGGAGCAGAATTTTAATTAAGAAGGAACAAGCAAGTCTTTCAGCATCTTCTCTGGGATTCATCTTAATTAGCCACCAGGTCCCATGGTCTCAGTCAGTGCCATGGAATTTGGAACAAAGTCAGATGAGCTTTAAAATTAGCCAATGGGGAAAGGAACAGGGAGGTGAGAAGGAAGGGCTGGCTTCACAATATGTATGAAACATCCATGTGGATGGAGGGGCAGGGGGTGGACTTCAGTGCTGTCCACAGACCCTCCCGATAAGCCTGTGCTGACTGCCATCACTGTTGACACGGAAAGTGTGTTGTCATCAGACTGCGAGCACAGTTCATGGTGCTGTCACGGCACGCTGGGACACCCGATGGGGGAGGTGATGAATGAGGACACTAGGGAACAAGGACCCCTCCCGAGGGAGGACTCAGCACCCAACACCCTTCAAAGGCAGCTGCTCAGAGACGGGGATGCCTGGGGCCCTGCCCAGGGGCGCGTGCCGAGCGTGTTCTGGGGTCCTGCCTGGAGGCGTGGAGAGTGCTCTGGGTCCTGGCCCTGTGGAGAGCATGTTCTGGGGTCCCACCCAGGCCCGTGGAGAGCACGTTCTGTGGATTCACACAGGGTGGGCAGGAGGGACGTGAGGAGGCCCTTCCGTGGACCACCCCTCCCTGGTGTCACCTCGCACCTACGGGGAGGGATGGCTAGGTGAGGTGGCACAGAGATGCCCCGCCCCTGACCAGGCCCCAGGTACTGACCAGGGTGGGAGGGTGCTGGCACCCCCTTCTCCCACAGCCCTCCCACGGATTCTCCAGGACCCCCCACCCTACCCCCAGCCCCCGGCCTAATAAGCCCCACCACAGGCAGTCATGTGATGTGGGTCTGGCCAATCATCTGCCTCTCTCCCATCCTTGGTGACGGGACAGACACGTGACCCACAGAGGCCAATCAGACTGGCCTGGGGGCTTCCGCTGGGACTGCTGCGAACAGCGCCTCCCTCTCCACCCTGGACCGCAGACCTGCAGGACGTGTCTGGGCGCCAGCTCCATCGTGTCCCAACCCAAGAGTGCATGCCTGACATGGGGCCAGCATGGAGGCAATGGGGCCACGGAGTAAGCAGGAGACATCTGCTGACATCACTGAGCACCTGGAACAAGCCGTGCCTGATTCACTTGTGCTTCCTAGGACTGAGCCTTTTATGTAAAGGAGTTCAAGCTGGTTTGCTATCACCTGCAGAGGAGGGGGAAGAGAGAGGACAGAGGAGGGAGAGGGACAGGGAGGGGCAGGTGGAGGAGGGGCACAACTAAAATAACACAGCTGCCATCACAGACCAGGATTTCGTCATTTTCTCTGACCCCGGTACCTTGACTGCCCCTCTATAAAAGAGAAAACACTATCTCTTCAAGTAGCTATTCTATGGGCAAGAGACATACATATTTAATGTAAAAATCCCTCCACATCTTAAAAAAAAAAAAAAAGATGCTCTATAAATCTGAGCCTTTGTTATAAAGTTAAATAACTTCATGGGAAACTAAGGACACTCTAGAAATTCCCTTTGAGTAACAACAGGGAATTGGCCAAAAACGCCCTGGTAGGTATGATCTCAGTAATGCTAAGCTTCTCGCGGGCTCAGCACTGTCCCGGTTTCCTAAGAGCTTCCAGTGGAACCTGAGCCCAGACCCAGATGACAGCAGGGAACGGCTGGGGACAGACTCGGGACTGATCCCACGGAAGGACACGGGCTGCCATCACTGACCTCAGAGAGACATCCCGTTCCTCCTGCCAAACACTTCCTCTCCTCTGGTAACAGCACCCTGATTTTCTCAGGGAGCTTCCTCCCCTCTGAGGCCACGGGTTTTGCTGGAAGGTTGACCCCTCACTCTAGCCCCAGGGTTACAGCTGTGACCCAGGCCTGGCCAATCAGAGCATTCACTCTTCTGGCCTCAGTGAGGGCTGGCCAATCAGAGCATTCCACTCCTCATGCCAATCAGAGCATTCCACTCCTCTGGCCTCAGCGAGGGGTCCATGATGGGCAGAGTTCCAAGCCAGGCCCGACAGAAATGAGGAAACTTGATCCCAGGACTTTTGTGGGAAATGTGGGTGGACCGGTAGCAACGATGAAGAGGGTGTTTTTCCCAGGACAGCTGTTAGCATTTTGTGCTATCCTAGTTTCTTTCCAGCATGGGGCCACCCTGAGAATGGAGCCGACTGTAAGAAACCGAACTGGGGGTGGAGAGCCCGGAACCCAGGCACGTGGCCTTGTCGGCTGAGCCTGGACCCGGCGGGGGGCAAGGGCTCCGGAGACCAGCTATAAATCCCACTCCTGGTCAGCCTCTTCCAGTCACGTTCTCTGCCCCCGGAACCACAGAAGTCTGACTGCCAGGTGTGGTTCCCAGGAGGCTTTCAGTAACACTCCCTGATCATGGAGCTCCTCGGCCACCGAGAGAGCGTGCGAGAGAAAGTCACGGAAAAGAACCAGCTGTGTCCGCGCTGCCCCTCTTGTGCGAGTCTGCACTTGTGCTCCAGGGCGTTACACAGATCTGCATTCAACCTGAAATCACGCCCGGCTTTCTGAGCATCATTCCGGGAAATGAGGCTGGTCACACGCCCCAAGTAGGGCGGTGGCAAGAACGATGCTGCACCAGCTCAGGACGTGAGCCAGGGGCCCAGGCCCACCTCCACAGAGCCCGGGGCCCTCACGCGCTTCCTCTCCCCCTGCCCCTCCCGGCCCAGCTCTGTGCCCACGCGAGCAGGGGACATACCACAATGATGAACAGCGCAGGGGCGACGAAGGCCCAGATGGCGCCACTCCCGAGCGACAGCCAGCAACTGTGGGGGAAGCAGAGCTGTTACTTCAACACCTGTTCACCTGCCCCGGGCGCCCGGGTGCCTTCTCCCAGAACAGTCACTAAGATGGTGTTTTTTTCAGCTACCGAGTCAACCCGGGGGCCCGTCATAACAACACTGTTACTCCCAGCAATTTTGTTTGTTTCCTATCCATGATGGTCTCCTGTCTTTCATTCTTGGAAAGAATTTTCCAGGTTTGCAGAACGGCTCAGGGAAAAGGCAGCTTTCACAGGCCCCCAGTTAGTGGAAAAACTCACAACCTCTGAAGAGTCTACGCAAAATCCTAAGCAGGTTTTAATTTTATTATGAAAAATAAATAAATAGACATTTGCCAGGGGCTGGCTTTCTTCCAGACCATTTCAAATACTAACTGGTGCCTTCCATCAGGGGTTAGAGGATCAACGAGTCACACGTGACACCATTCCACCTGCCCCTCAGCTGTCGGTCAGTCACACCTCCCGCCGGGCCCGCAACCCACAGACAAGGTTCCAGTGGATCCCAGCGACTGCTCTGACTCCGGAGAAGCCTCATCTGAGATGCAGGGTCCAGCTGGAAGAGGTGAAACTCCTCCTAGCTTCCAAGTGTGACTCCAAGAACTCAGCAAGAAAACCAGCTCTGTTACTATTTCCTTTCTTTCCAGAGCATCAGAAATGCCGAGAGCCCGGCGTCTGGAGGGCGCTGGGACAGGACTCTGCTGCACCAGCCTAGGACGTGACCTCGGGAGCCCAGCCCCTCTCCACAGAGCCTGGAGATCCCCTCCCTAGATCGGGCACAGCCCCAGGGCCTGGGCACATTGACGGGGATCTGGCCAGGAGCGCAGGGCAGTCGTCACTGATACACGATGGGGATGTCTCCAGGGGCCGCCTTGCCCCTCACTCAGTGACTGCGCACCCAGCAGCACCTCACAACCCTACGGGCTGCAGCACCTCACAACCTCACGGTGCCCACTGAGCAGGCGCTCTGATGACTGCCCCCTGCAGATGAGGAGACCGAGGCCCAGAGAGATCAGGGGACCCAAGTCCACTCGCCAGGTGTCCACCTTCCTGCCCCCATTCCCCCCGAGACCTCCTGGACCAGGAGACACTAGATGCCCTGAAACAGGTGCGGGTGCCTGGGAGATGTTCGTGGTGTCCGCAGGCCCAGAGCAGGGAGGGAAGACACGCCAACGAGGACGCAGCATTACAATGGAAGCGCACAGCGGGCCTGAGCGGCGCCTCCGCAGAGCTCCCTCCACACCCCGGCTCCCTCGAGGGCGAGGGCAGGACGACTGCAGAGAGAAAGCTGTGCTTCCAACATTTTCCCGCAGAACTTTGAGTCCAGGAGGACCCCGAATCTGTCCTCTTCGGAGCTCCACGGCCTCCTGAGCCTGCGCGGGCGGCCTCGCCCTCAGGCCTGGAGCGGAGAGGGGGACACAGACGCAGACCCCGGACACAGCGCGGGGTGGCCTCGCCCTCAGGCCTGGAGCGGAGAGGGGGACACAGACGCAGACCCCGGACACAG